CAGAGGCATCAGAATTAAAGCAGACTTTGGGGGTGACCTTGGGTTTACTTTTTGGCAGCCGGCTGGGAGTAGGGTGGGTTTTGCAGCCAGCTGGGGGGTGGGGGGTTTTGCAGCCGGCCAGACACCCTGGGTGGTAGCAGGGAGGCTGCAAACCCTCCTGCTCCTGGATGGCTGCAACACCCCCCACTCCTGCTGCCAGCCAGCTGCAGCCCCATCCCCGCCCTGCTCCCATGGGATGCTCCCCCACCCCACCAGTTTGAGTTCACCAGCCAGTAGAAATATATTGTGCAATAAAAACAAATATCATTAATTGCACATGTAGATGTGACCTGTCAAACCTCCTCTCTTCTTCACCTTGAGCCAATTTTCCCTTGTAGAAAAACATATTGGAAAAGCTTGTACAAAAACTTTTTGGTGAATATCAACATTTCAAATGCAAAAGTAGATTACAACTGGATAGCTTTGAAATAACCTTTCTATTGTTTTAGTTAAAACTCTCTTTCAGCATGCTGTCCTATTTTAATCTGCTCCATTACAGAAACTCTTCAGATGCTTGAATCAGGATCTTAAATACTGAACTTTTAAAGACTTAACAGGACTTCTCTTTGTTCGGTTTAGAAAGTATTTAAAAATATATTGGTTTACTGCAGTTCTGCTTTGTACATTAGTAAAATCAGAATAATCCATTAATCTTTCAGGTTGATGCATTCAAGACATGTGTACTTCCAGTTTGTGTATAAATGTGTCTTTTATGCCATGCAAAACCAGCTGGTTTACAGTGAAGCATGTAATCTCTTCTCTTACATAAAGGTCTGGCAGAAAATAGGGCATTCTATTTAATTCTATTGTTAGGCCATGAGGTTTAAAATAATTAACCATGATTAAAAAGGACAGAACAATTAGAGCAGTTATATGCATAATCTCAGAACGAGTCCATCCTAGAACTGTGCTTAAAGCACTAAGTTATTAAGAGGCAGTGGGTGTGTTCACACATTCATTAATGCACCGTAATTATGGCACTAAGCCTTTTTACATATGCTCCCAAAGCAGCACTGGGCACTTTTAATTGGTCATCTGTCTTAATGAAGAGCACCTGGCGCTGCATCAGGTACTAGCGTATAAATGGCGCAGTGCATGTTAACACTGAGAAAATGGTGGTAGTGTGCTTTGAACTAAAGCACTGCAAATGTGTTTTAGTTCAAAGAGCACTGCCTGACATTTTTTCAGCACTGATGCATGCTGCGCCACTTATACGCTTGCCCCTGATGCAGTGCTGGGGACATCAATTATGTGCTCTAGCAGACTCAAGTAATCAACTTTGCTACGATGTGCTGGATTTTCAGCGCATCAGAGCAGACTCACTGCATGTGTGTAAGTGCCTATTAAATTTAGTTCCTGTAAGGACAGGTACTAACTTAATGCACCATAATTGGTGCTACTGCGCATTAGTGCAAACAAACTTTATTTTGTGACGTTAATTCTCAGTAGACTAAATCTACTGTGCATTAGTAGATTAGCCTGGGTTTTGCCCACCACACTAATGCACAGTAGAATTAGTCTACTATGCTCAAAGCATTTTGTGTAGATACACCCATTGTCGTCTAATAGAAAAGGTATTAGATTTGGAGTCAGGAGATCTGGTGTAACCATCCATACTGCTGTTGCAGTCAACAGGGATAATTTGTTGCCGACCACCCATACAGTAGTTTGGCTCTTTTGTTCCAGCTCTGGAAACTCTACTCTTAGACAATAGGTTGCCCCCTTGCATCCTTGGTGTGTTGACCATGAGGGTGAAGCCACGGTTTGACTGGATGACTTGAGGAATTTGCTTCACCTTCTTGAGCCTCTCCTTCCTGTCTGACACCTCGGGTGTGTCTACATTGCACTCACAGATTTCACTATGTATTTATACAGTACTTTGTATGATGAGGTCTTATTTTAGCTGAGGCATCTAATTGTTTCTGGAGCATGATCTGGATTACGGAAACTATGTAAAAAAGTAAAAAACAAAAAAAGCGGTCTGTAAAAAAACTAAGAAACCATGAGCTTGATTGAGGCTAGATGCAAGTGTTGATAGGCAGAGCAGAGCAGAGCAGAGCAGCACCTCTTTGTGTCTTAGTGGAAGCGTAGGTTGGTGCCCTGAAGGGAGCTCTGCAGAGCTTTGTGGCCCACAGAAGCTCCATAGCACTCCCACCACATCCCAGTCACATGCTGCCACTGCAAGTGGTCACTGCCTGTCTGTAACAGCTGCTTGCCTGGAAGGTAGGCAGGATTGTGTAGTTCTGGGAAGTCTGAGGCACCAGGAAGGAAAGGGTGTAGGACAGTGTGGCCAAGATGGAGCTGTGGGGCTGGGTTGGGGGAATGCAGTGAGTGGGGATCTGTGCCAGGACAGAGGGAGTAGGGTCAGAGAGGGTCAGGGTAGGGGGTAGGCTGGGCTACACAGCACAGTGTGGGATACAGTTGATGGTACCAGGGTGTGGGGATGGGTGGGGGAACTCCTGGATGGGGGCATCATGGTATAAAACCATCACTGCTGCCAAGTAAGACTATTCTGGGTAAGAGCTTGAGCCACATTTAGAAATTTGGTGTTAAACCCCTAAATGTGAACACTGGCCTTGTTATGCCACCCAGGGCCTGGCAGAAGGGTTACATTTACATTATGTAAAATGTGTCAGTAAAAAAGTTTGACTGTCAGTAAACAGTACGGAGATTTTCAGTAAATGCATTTTTTCCTGGGTTGGCAACCCTGATAAGCAGCTGGAGGGGAACTGGAAAATGAAACCATAAGCTTGAACCATGAGGGAAAACATTTTCTCCAAGCTGGGATGGTTGTGAAAGGAAAATGTCCTTCCTTTTCCCTCGACTTCCCATACAGTACAGCAAACCGTATCACCCAAGCTGGGCTCTGAATCACTTTTGCTGCAGTTCGCTCCATTTGCCGACTCTGCAGTTTTTCAGCAGTGGGCGGGAAATACTGAGAGCTTGTGCTCCTTCTCTTCCCTCTCTTAGCATGACGCGCTTTGAATAGACCCCCAAAGTGGAAACGCGTTACCTGCTGCTCTTGATTAAGGCCTGACGTCCTCGCCTGCTCAATTAAAGCCTTTTTGGAAGCCAGAAACAAACCAGTATCAGCTCTAATCAGCCCTGACAGTCAGTAAATTGTAGCTTTCAGGGCCCATGTGCTGACGCTCAACATTTAAAGAAAATAACAGTGTAGAGCTGCTTCTTTCACAGTGTGGCAGTCTCCACTCTTTTCAGAGAACAAAATTACAGTCTCGGATCAGAGGAGACAGCATTGCGATGCCAACTCCATTTTGGCACTGCTTTTCCCCTCATCCACAGGTCACTTTCTCTGATGTGAGCATTAATGGCTACTTAATCATGCCAGGCTGCATAATTTATGATTCTCAGTACTTGACCCTGAAGAAAGAGGAGCAGCTTTGTTACAGGGGATTCGACAATGTGGAAGCAAGCTAGAATGGGTAGCCTCATTAAACTGCATGTTGGGGTGAGGAGTGGGGAGTAGGTCTGCAAGCCTCCATTGTGCTGGTCTTTCATGGGACATAGGGGAAGTTGGGGAAGGTTTTTCTCCTTTTCCAAGATAAATTAGCATGGCTTTGCTGGAGTCAGTGCAAGTGGGCCAACTTACACAGCCCTCATTTCCTTATGCTCTGCCCTGCTTTTTACCTCTTATTCTTCACAGCTAGATAGCAGCTGTGCAGGGGAATTGAAACACACTTCTGCTTGGCAATGAAGGTTGAGGTCTCTACTCCTCAGTGGGCATGTCTACACAATATGCTAACTGTGCAGTAGCCTAATAACACTGTGCAGTAGTGTGCCAAGCAAAAAAGAAATGCTAATATGCTACTGCACCGTAGCATTAGGCTACTGGTCAGTAAGCATTGATAAAAACCCGTGTGCTGGTGCTAGTGCACAGTAGTGCAAGTTAGCTCATTGATTTAGTACTTGGTTAACCAAGAGTCCAGAGAAGAGCCAGTCATATGATTAGAGGCCTGAAGAGCAAGCCATACAAGGAAAGGCTGACAGATATGGGACTGTTTAGCCTAGAAAAGAGAAGACTTCAGGGGGATTTGGTGGCAGCTTGCACTTATATCAGGAGACAGCATCAGGGGCTAGATGAACAACTATTCACCAAAGCGCTTCAGGGGAAAACCAGGAGCAACAGTCATAAACTCCTAGAAGAAGGTTTCCAACTGGATAGAAGGAAAAACTTCTTCACGGTTCATGTGACCAGACTCTGGTATAGACTCCCAGCAGGGGTGGTGCAGGCACCTACCCTGGAGATCTTCAAGAGAAGACTGCGTGCACACCTTGCTATGGTTAATTGACCCCAGCAGTCTTTCCTGCCCAGAGCAGGGGGGTTGGACCTGATGATATCACGAGACTGGAACCAATGATCTCATGTGATTCCCTAAACTTCTGTGAATCTGTGAATCTGTAATGTGCAGTAACTATGGCTCATTAATGAATGTGTAGACATACCCAGTATCTCCTATGCACCACTAAATGGACTAAGTTCCCAGCTATGGAGACCCTAAAGACTGGGGAGGTGTTCAAAGAGGATGCATCTGACACAGCCTGCTCCTGTAATACCCTTGGGCCCTGGTGTAGCGAGGAGCTGGATCCCACTGCACATATCCATGTAAAGAAAACAGCCAGCTGGTTTAAGTGTAGCCTGTAGGGTCACCCTAATGCCCAAAGGAGTCTCAGGTGGGGGAAGACACTCTCAGAGCTGTCTTTTAGCTGTGCATGGGGAATGAAGCCCCATGTATGGGCACGAAGGGAGGTGAGGCATTAAGCAGGGTACCATTGCCCCAGAGGGAGAATCTGGCCTGTTACTTTAACTCCACTCATGTCAGAGGAATTCTAAGATGACAACAACTCTACAACTTGAAAACCATCTCATCCCATGGCTCCCACAGCCAAATATAACACATTTTTATCATTCTTTAGGCAAGCAATTTTCTCCGCAGCATGACTATCCCAGACCTTTGCAAAGCACCAATCCCCTGGGGAAATAGAGGTGCTGTAATCAGTGGGCTCCAAAAGTTAGTCCCCTTGCAAAAAGCCTTGGCGGTTTGCTAAGCACAGTGGCTCAGCCCAGAGATGGGCCAGGGTGCAGGCAGGTCAAGAGAGATTGGTGGCGAGTAGCAGAGGGCTGGTGGGGCATACTGCTTCCTGCACTACAGTGGCCACTAGGACCCAGGCAAAGTGCATCACCCATCACCAGCATGAAAAGCCTGACGTTGAGACACTTTATTGTGGAGCTGACTAATTAGCTCTGCAGTAACATGTCACTGTCTACACGTGTGGTGCTATTAGGCTGCTGTTAACTAATTAACTCCTCTGTAGTGTCCAACACAAGTACTATCCTACAGTGGTGTAGTTACATGTGGTGAAATGCAGGTGTAGCTGGTGACAGGGCTGGCTGGGGCACAAGGGTGCTACAGTGTGGGGGCTGTCTGCTGGCTAGCCCTGCACTGGAGCACCCTTATGCCCCAGCCAGCCCCTCCACAGCATGTTGAGCTATGCTGGAGCCGCCCCAGGCTGGCAGGTTGACCCCCGGGAGCCTCTGCCAGCTGAGGCTGCTCTGCCTTGGCTCAACGTGCTGTGGTTGCAGGCCCATGTGTAAATGTTGTGCTCAGGAGAAATAAAATTTGGATTGAATTGTGAGTTTATTGCTACATGCTAGGTGCATGAATAGATGCTCCCACTGAATCCAAGAGCGAGTCAAGCGTTTTCCTCCTGAAACCTTTTTTCGGAGGAAAAATGAATTTTTGCTTAAAAAAATATTTTAAGGAAACTTTCCTTTTCTTCCCGTAGAATTTTTTTAGGTTTTTTTTTTGGGTCAAACCAACCCCCCAAATAACTGCAATATTTCAACCCAAACCCAAAGCTTTTTTCCCCTAAATTTCAGGGCTCAGCTTGGCCCTCTCGGACATGCCTTACTGATGCAGGAAAAACAAATCGCGCGTGAAGCTGGGCCATTTAATAGAGCTGTGCGATCCAGGGTTGGAAGAGAAAGCCTTGCTGGAATAGCCATGGTTCTGTTTGCAAGGCAGTAGGTGTATCTACACAAGATATTTACTAACAAGTTGCCTAATTAGCTCTGTAGTAAAGGTCATAGCATCTACACATGTAACTCTATTAGGCCACAGTAAATTAATAAATTTTGCCTCAGGTTAGTACTTGTAAATACAAGTACTATCATTGAATCATGGAAATGAATGGCTGGAAGGGACCTTGAAAGATCATGGAGTCCAACTCCCCTGCTCTGGGCAGGAATACTGCTGAGATCAAATGATCTCAGCGAGGTGTCTGTCCAGTCTCGTTGGAAGACTTCCAAGGTTGGAGACTGCACGACCTCCTTGGGAAGTCTAGTCCAGACTCTTGTCCCCCTTACTGGAAAGAAGCTCTTCCTTGCATCCAACCTGAAACCATCCTCTGACAGTTGATGGCCATTGCTCCTTGTCCTCCCCTGGGGCACTCTAGTGAACAGTTTTCCTCCCAGCTCCTGATACTCACCCCTGACATACTTACAGATGGCCACCAAGTCTCGCCTCGGTCTTCTCTTCCCCAGGCTAAACAGTCCCAAATCCCTTAGTCTTGTCCTCCAGGCCCTTAATCATTCTTGTGGTCTTTCTCTGGACCCTTTCAAGATTGTCCACATCTTTTTGAAGTGTGGTGCCCAGAACTGGACACAGTACTCCAGCTGGGGTCTTACTAGTGCTGAGTAGAGAGGAAGTATCTCTTCCTTAGCCCTGCTTGCAATGAATTGGCTAATACATCCCGGTATGCTATTAGCTCTGTTGCCTACAGCATCACGCTGGTGGCTCATGTTCATCCTGTGATCAACCGTAACTCCGAGGTCTCTTTCAGCCATTGTGCTAGCCAGGATATCTTCTCCTAACCTTCTCCCCAAATGAAGCACTCTGCATTTATCCTTACTGAACTGCATCTGGTTCCACTCCACCCACCTTTCCAGCTTGTCCAGGTCTACTTGGATCTGCATCCTATCCCCTAGTGTGACCACTTTCCCTCATAACTTAGTATCATCTGCAGACTTGACCAGCATGCTTTCCACATCCTCATCTAAATTGTTCATAAAGATGTTGAACAGCATGGGGCCAAGAACTGACCTCTGTGGGACACCACCTCCTGCCAAGACAATCACTGACCTGATCTTGGTCACTGCCCTTGACTTCCTTATCCTCTCTCTACAAATATGGGGTATACTTCTGTATATTTCTTTTTTCTTTCCCACTTTTTTTCTCTCTTCTTCCCTCTCCTCCCCCTGCTGGATGCGGTTGTCTTCTCCCTCAAAGGATGAAAGTATTATATACTTGTGTATTCTTCCTTGGTGACTACCTCTTGTTTCCCCTGTCTATAAACCTCCTTTTTCTTTTTGATAGATTCATAGATGTTTGGGTCACAAGGGACCTTAGCAGATCAAGTCCGACCCCCTGCCCTGGGCAGGAAAGAGCACTGAGGTCAGATGACCCCAGCCAGGTCTCTGTTTCGCGTCTTCTCAAAGAGCCCCAAGGTAGGGGAGAGCACCACCTCCCTTGGAAGCCCATTCCAGATTTTGGCAATCCTTACCGTAAAGAAGTTCTTCCTGATGTCTTCCTGATATTTAAGCACTTCCTGATTTTTTAAGTTTTTCCTGATTTTTAAGCACTCCTTGACTCCTCTGGTAGGCCAAGGGGGCTTCCTGGCCCCTTTACCACTACTCCTGCATACAGGAATGGACCTTTTCTGCACTCTGAGGATTGCTCCTTTAAGGAACAACCACCCTCCTGAACTCTCTTCCCCTCCAGTCCTTCTTCCCATAGAGTCTCTCCCACTATTTTCCTAAGCTCATTGAAGTCAGCCTTCCTGAAGTCAAGCACCTCTGCCATACTGGCTGACTTCCCTGCCCTACGACAGATGGTGAATTCTATCATCTCATGATCACTGTCTCTCAGATTACCCTCAATCTTCGGATCTCCCACCAGGTCATCCCCTTTGGTTAGAACCAAATCCAGCAAAGCCTTCTTCCTATTCAGCCCATTCACCTTCTGTACTAACTAAAGTTCTTCCACGCAGGTAAAAACCCTACCTGATCTCTCAGATGTCCTCCCAATAGATGTCAGGGTAATTGAGGTCACCCATAACAACCATGTCCCTTTAATGTTCAGCCTTCATCACTTCTCTGAAAAATTCAAGATCTAGCTCCTTCTCCTGGTGTAGTGGTTTGTAGTAGATGCCTACCATCAAGTCCCTTTCTCCTCATCGCTCCCATATCATGACCCACAGGGTCTTGAGTCACCCTTCTCTTGAACCAGTTTGGGTCTCCAAGAAGTCATAACACTCCTTTACATAGAGAGCTACACCTCCTTCCTTCTTCCCTACCCTATCCCTTCTGGGCAGCCTGTAGCCCTCTATGCATACAGCCCAGTTATGCGTGGTGTCCAACCAGGTCTCTGTTATTCCAACGAGATCGTATCTCCTATATGGATGCAGGAGTGCCAGTTCTTTCTGCTTATTCTACTTGAGAGCATGGAGGCAGAAAGAGATCTTGGAGTCATTATTGACTCCAAGATGAACATGGGCCGACAATGCGAGGTCATGATTGGCAGGGCTAACCGGACCTTGTCGTGCATCCACAGGTGCATCTCAAGTAGAGCCAAGGAGGTGATCCTCCCCCTCTACGCGACACTGGTCAGGCCACAGCTGGAGTATTGTGTCCAGTTCTGTGCGCCCCATTTCAAGAGGGATGTGGACAACATGGAGAGGGTCCAGAGGAGGGCCACCCGCATGATCCGGGGACAACAGGGCAGACCCTACAGTGAGAGACTGCGGGACCTGAACCTATTCAGCCTCCACAAGAGAAGGCTGAGGGGGGACCTGGTGACCGTCTATAAACTCACTAGGGGGGACCAGAAGGGTTTGGGGGAGACGCTGTTTCCCCTAGCGCCCGCTGGCATAACAAGGAGTAATGGGCACAAGTTGATGGAGAGGAGGTATAGATTGGACATCCGCAAAAACTACTTCACAGTTAGGGCGGCTAGGAGCTGGAACCAACTTCCAAGGGAAGTGGTGCTGGCCCCTACCCTGGGGGTCTTTAAGAAGAGGCTGGATGCCTACCTCGCTGGACTCATTTGAGTCCCATTTTTGTTTTGGGGTTTTGTTGTTCTCCTGCCCTGGCGGGGGGTCGGGCTAGAAGATCTACTAGGTCCCTTCCGACCCTAAATCTATGAATCTATGAATCTATGAATATTCCCCATACTCCTAGCATTTGTGTATAGAAACTTAAGGTCCCATTGGTAACCCCTAGTTCCCTGCTGCCCCAATATTGTTTCAGCCTCCCAAATATCATTGACCTCCCTCTCTACATCCTTCCTGCTTGGCTGTCCCCTGCCTTGCATTCCCATCTGCACACCCATCCCTCAACATAACTAGTTTAAAGCTCTCTCCAGCAAGTCAGCCATCCTGGAAGAAAACAGCCTTCCCCCCTCGGTGTGAGGTGGATGCCATCTCTTCCCAACAAACCTCTATCCCAGAACAGTGGTCCATGATCATAAAATCTTAAACCCTCGCAGTGGCACCATCTCCTGAGCCTCCAGTTGACCTCCTCAATATAACTGTCCCTTGAGGGGCCCTGACCCCTTACTGGAAGGGTGGAAGGGAAAGCCACCTAGGCCCCAACCCTTTGAGCCAACCCCAGGGCCCTGTAGTCAATCATGACCCACCCAGTGTTGTTCCTAGCCATGTCATTCATGCCCACATGGATAAGCAGCATGGGGTAGTGGTCGGAGGGCTGAATGAGTTTTGTAATCCTTTCCACCACATCTCAGAAATGGGCCCCCAGAAGGCTGCAGACCTCCCATGTGAAATGGCACTCTCTGTCCTCCTCAGGAGTGAGTCACCCACTACAACCACCCTATGTCTCCATTTCTGGACAGGAGCTTGCCTCCTTGCCTCCTCTGGATCAAGTGCTTCTGGTCCTTTCTCCACCAGTCCTTCCTCCACCAGTGGTGCAAGGGTCTTGTACATGTTGCACAGCTGAACCAAAGAAGTTTCCCTTGCATCACATCCCTTGCATAGAGCCTAAAGCAGCCACCTTCCACTCAGCTCCCTCAGGTCCTCCCACTCCATCTTCTTACCCTCATTCTTCTTCTGCAAATTCCTGCTGCTCACTTCATCTATGTCCTGCTCATCAGCCCGGATCCTGCATAGCCTGCTCACCTCCGCCTGGAGCTCCTTCACCTGGTTCTCTAGAGACTCCACCAGAGCATGCCCCCCCCCTCAAACGAGGCTATCCTTGTCCCTGCTCCCAGCCACCAGGAGCTGCACTAGGCACCCCCCAGCCCAGGACCTGGGCTGAAGTCTCCACCACTGAAAGCCAGGGTTCAAATTATGGGGGAGTTTGGGGGGGCTGAACCCCCCCATAAGAGACAAGAGCTCCCCCAGAAGAGATGAGAGCCTCCCAGCCTGCTCCATACTTCTTGTGGCAGCTGAGGCAGCAGCAGTGGCAGCTCCTTCTGGCTTCCTGCTGCCACCACTACAGAACCCCGCCCCCAAGAGTTGGAATGTAATTCGAACCCTGAAGCCTCAGAGGAGTCAGAGGTGCGGGACATAGCAGTAGTGGGAGGTCTGATGGTGTGATGCATCCTCTTCATATCTAAGTCCTTCCTTGCAAGCCTCTTTCCTCTGAGAAAGCTTAAGACCCCACTTCAAAGAGGGGGATGGCAAACTGGCCTGCAAACTGACTAGCGAACTGCTAGCAAATTGCCCTGCTTGCTCTTCCCTGTTTGCTTGCTCCCTGGACACCTGGAGAGCCTTAGGCTCCTCTCCTGGGCTGAACTGACTGCCCTTTACTATCCTGCTGCAGAGTTTTTTAGTGCCCAGAAATACATGTGTAGATGCTGATATAGCTGGCTGTATGGGAGCTGCCTGCCCCCTTGTGCCCCAGCCAGCTCCTTTGCAGCATGTTGAGTCAGAGCAGAGCAGTCCTGGGCTGGCAAGCTGACCCCTTGGATCCCCTGCTAGTTGGGGCTGCTTTGACCCGGCTCAATATTTGTGGTTGTGGGGGGTGATGTGCACTGGAGTTTATTGCTGCAAATTAATTGCACATGTAGATGCACCCAATATGTAGCTCCTTGGCATAGCAGTTCATGCTGAGTAACCATAGGGAAAAAGTACAGCAGGAGATAAATCATTACCTAGCAGGCTGGATGTTACCTGAAGGCACTATTGACAGCAGAGTGACACTGATTTATACCCAATATGACCTGGGCCAGCAGGACCTAATTCTCTCTTCACCTGCACTGGTATTAGTTTGGTGTAGTCCTTTTGACTGCAGTGGAGCCACTTCTGATTTACAGCAGCAGAGAGGAAGGGAAGAATCATGCCTGTTAGCGGATAGCACTTGTTTACTTTTAGCCATCCACTTCCATTTGCTCTGGGTCCTTTTTGCTTTATGGATTCAGAATCACTAATTAAGCCCATTCCTTAACGTTAGGACTCCAGAAATATTGTGGAGGAATTGCTCATTGTACATGGTGCATCATCTGCATACAGAACGCAAGGGCTCAAGGTCCTTTCCATTAAATCATCCCATCTTATCTGCTGG